CTGTAAAAACCTGCTTCAAGTTCCGCATGCAGACAAACAAATTAAATAGTTAGTTTCACGATCTTAACTTGCTTGACCCAGAGAGAAAATGAACCAGCATTCATGTTATTATTAACTTTCGTTTAGCTGATGCTTTTATCCAAAGACAATTTATTAATTAGCAAACATTTGATCAAGAAGAATCTGAATTCTTTGGACTGTTATTCAGACAAAAAAAGCAATTAAAGAAGGAAATTGTGACACAAATTGTATGGTTTGATTAATAGTGATTGGCAAATTAATTATTAAGATAATTATTACTTGAAGCACTTCCTGGATTAAGTATGAACTGCTCCAGGTTCAGTTGAAGTACTAAAACAGCTCCTGCTTTAACACAAAATCAGGTTAATCCTGTTATGCATACTTTGTTATTCTTAATTAGCAGATGAAATACCTGATGTGTTTCCGTGTCTCCTCATCCCGAGTCCACCATTAGTCCCGGTCTGTGAACTCAAGCAGATTTCAGAATAAAACTGATCTCAGAGACTGAAACCACACTGGATCTGACCTTTAACCTTTAGGGTCTTCGTTTCTCGCCCCCCCGCCGGGTCGACTGAAGTGCCAAACGGAGCGATTCTGATCCCAGATCAGCGCTCCAGGCTGCTAATATCATTCAGTATCAACACTATTCTTCTTCTTCTTCTTCTTCTTCTCTGCCTCGTCGCGTCATTAAGGCTGAAGTCCTCCGACCAATCAACACGCTCTCCTCTTTAACAGCTGATAGGAAACACAGGCAAACCCCGAAATCTGGTTTCCTGGGTTAGAATAAAGTCTGATAACGGGACCGGAGTTCATCTTTCAATGTCTAAGAGAGTCTAGAACTGGTTCTGCTCATCTGTGATCGTATTGGACTCAATTTGTATTCAAAGCTGCAAAATTAATCGATCAGTTTTTGCAAAATGATCTGTTCAGAAGTCACCACAAAACATAACAATCAAGCAGATATTTTAATCGTTTTTAAATGTATATGTAACAGGATCCTTATCATACATATTTGCTAGGTCTTAATCTCTATTTAAATATTACAATTAGAAGTAGTATTAGTTTAAAAGACCAGTATGGGTCCGGCTTTACTGCTACATTCCCAGCAACACATTTATTTGGTTGCTGTTTTTATTTAATTAGACGGTAATTTAACCCTTTAATTCTAATTAAATCTATAAGAGTACATTGATCACGTTCTAATCCAACACTTAGATACATATGTTTGAGATAGGCAATGTCTAATTTCACTCTTACTAATTCCTTTGCTTAACTTAAACTATACAAGTGAGTACAACATGTCAAATTATTCCAAGAAATACATAAAAAACATATTCTTTAGCAATCATTTTGAAATGAGGGATTTTAAATCTATTTGCTCTAATAACTTAAATCAGTGTTTTATTATGAACCTGTGTTCAGCTCGTGGAGAGATGAGAGCCTGAGGACTCAACCTGATGCCAAGCGTTGCCTTACGTCAGTGGCGGACTGGCCATCGGGACGTTCAGGACGAATCCCGATGGGCCGGTACTGAAGTGGGCCGGTCGAGAGTCCCGGGCTGATTTTTAGTCCCAGTCCGCCCCTGCCTTACGTCGTTGTCTTAACTCCAGAGCCAATCACAGTACAGCTCTGCTTTAAATCCAACCAATCAGCAGTCTGCGTGCGGGGGGGGGGGGCGTGTCTACAACTCTGTCTCCCAGCAACCACTCGGCATCCACCTATCACATAACCATTAGAATGTAAAATATATATTATAAAAAGTATACATTTGCACATTGTTGTAAAATAATGTCGCTAGCACTTTGGAGAAGAGTCACGTTAGAAATCATGTTTTGTTTTACATATTGTAAAATGAATCAGAGATGGAGGCTTTTATTTTGCTGATACATACAGTATGACAGATATATATATATTGAATATCTTTGTGCGTTATCTATATTTGATGCAGTATGTGATTTTGATGATGACTGATTGTTGACGCTTTAGCCGGCGAAACACCAGCGACGAAGCGACGCCGGCTACCTCACTTCCCATGTTAGACTTTCAAAATAAAACTCCTTTTCAGCTTTTTATGCAAATGTCTTGTCAGCGGCGGCGTCGGCTGGCAGCAGGAGAGGATTCTGGGAAGTGTAGTTCAAAACATTTCCCTCCTCGGCCTGTTTCACGTTGCTGCTTTTAAAGGTTCTCCAGCACCGAGGAACATATTTGAATCTGAAAATCTGACATGAAGGATGCTAAATTAACGCTGTGGATACAAACAAATTGAAATTGAGAATTTTTGGGTGTTTAATTGGACTTTGATATGGCTCTCTACATCCCTTAATTGATTACTATTTTAACACGTTGGTGCTGCGAGACTTTTAAATGGTGTCTGACCGGCTAATGTAAACAATCAGCGATAGGCAGGGCTTTTATTTTTGGCGGGGTTTGCTGCGATGCAGTGATGTTAAGGCTTTGTGTGTCTCTGAACGCACCACGAAAGGGAATGTTATTTTTGTTTTTGTTCTTTTGATTTCTAATGTTCAAAGTGCTCAAGTGTTTTGAAGAGTTTTAGTTTTAGAGGATTTATTTTTCTCTCTCTGTGTGTATTTCTGAATATCAGTATTTCGTCCTCAGACCCGGCTCAGACTCACGTTATTATTATTATTATTTTAAAAGCAGATACAAAATAATCTGCTGTTTTTTTTTCATATAATTAATTTTAAAAATGTCGACATAATGGCGGATGTTAAAGAATACTGCATTTTGTCTTTAAAAATATGATAAAAAATGTTTTAAAGGCTCAGAGCCTCTGCTTGCCCGATTAAAGAATCAAAATGATGTAGAAAGACCAGACCAGCCAATCACTTTAACACAGGGTGAGCGATTGAGATCAGATCCAAAATGTAATGGTTTCTTCATGGATCCATGCTTCACCAATTCACCAAGTTACATGGTTACATGTTAAAGCCACTTTTAATGGATATAGAGTTTTATATTGTCATTATTATGACACAGTATTATTATCCTTTGAATTATCTACAACTATATTCAGTTGTGTGGTGATTTCAATCAACTACAAGTTAGAAATTACCCATGTATCTACAGTCAGACACACATGAAGGGACGGTAGAATAAATACTGATTGCACCTTTAAAAAATGATCTTCTAATTGGAAATTAATCTAGACTTTTTGGACTTTAGTTTGACGATCAGTTTTAAGAGTCACATGTAATTAGTTAAAAAGTTCATTAACAGCTAATTAAATAACACTAATTAATGATGAAATGAATCCTTATTTTGCGTGTTGATTGGCCGGCCTGGTGGATTTAAACTGACGACATACAGAGATTATTACTGGTGATTAAAACTAGTGAGATGATATGTTGTAGAGGCCACTGAAATGACACTAATTAAACTAACCGCAGTATTTTATTTAACGCAAATCAAACTGACATTTTAGAGAGTTTTATATTTTTAAAGTTATATAATCATTATTTTTTTTTTTTTAAATGTCTGGAGCCTGGTGGGTCAGAGGGGGGGGGGGATAATTAATAAAAAATCTGCAGCCGTTGAATGCGAAAAAACACAACTTGAAGAAATGAAAATGTACATTACCAAAATCTGAAGTTTCATTGTCATGTTGTCTTTGTCTTCTGCCAAAAACATCCTTGTTGTGACAGAATCGCTGATCTAATCTGCCCTGAGACAGAGCAGAGGGGATATATTTAAAACACTTAGAAATACTTCAACATACCATCATTAAAATGTGTTTTTTTAAATAAAAAATTCACGGTAAATAGAAGTGTTTTAAGACTTTAGGGGGGCTTTTTAAAATTGTATTCACATTAATGCATCAAATATTTTGTGTTTCTACCCCAGATATTAGAAAAGAAAATCTAATTTGATTGGACAGTTAAATATTCTAACAGTATATAGGCGCTTTCACACCTACTTTTCCCAGGAATAGTTCCGATAGTTCCTGGGATTTTGCGTTCACACCAAAAAGATCTGGAACTAGAACTTTTTTTCGGGAACCTTTTCACCCCCAGATAGTCCCTGCTAGAGAGTAGGGACTTTCCTGGGGAGAAAAAGGTTCCAATTTCTGATTGGCTGGGC